GTTCTTCAATAGTTATAAGGAAACAAGACGCAACACGTCTCATGTTTATTTTATTACTATGAAGGATATTGCGAGAGAGAATATTGTGAGTTAATAGAAAACGGGATTTTCGATCCCGATGACAACCTTTTTTTTTAAATATTTTATATAAGCTTAAAATAAAGTTTGGGCAACCGAGAAAACTTGAAAGAGAGGAACCTTGAAAAATAGTATAGACCGTTTTTGGTATCGCCTAAAACCGGAGCGTTGTGCATCCCCCACTCATCTCTGCCGGAGCGTCGTGCATCACCCCACTCATCTCTGCAGGCTCATTGGCAATCTCCCTACTCATCTCTGATACAACTATGCATATAGCTTAGTTTCCACCGTGCGGAGTTTAAACAGAGTCAAACAGCCCTATTGGTCAATTCCATTCAACCCCTATACGTGATTGGTTAACTTTGTTTAAACTCTGAACTGTGGAAACTAACGCCATGTTTAGACGACGGTCTTAAACCGATTAGTTAATACTGACCAAATACCACCATACGACCACCAATCGATTGGTGAAAAGAAAAATGTAAAATTTGAAGTGGGAGGAGGGCTATGTTAATGCTAAAAAATTGTTATGGATTTTCAAAGTAAACCGAAAACCACCAAACGTTTTGAATGGACTACCAAATACCACCAAACGACCACCAATCGATTTATAAAAAGAAAAATGTCGAAAGTCAAAGTGGGGGGACTAACTTTGCGGAGCTCGCCGAAACCAGAGAAAAATTGAGACCACCAAAAACAGGCTCATTGGCAATCTCCCTACTTATCTCTACTCTACTTACGAGGAAAAATGTACTAAAAAATTAAGCTTAAGGCTGGTCCGCCAAAGGTTCAATCAAATCATTGGTCCAGCTCTGTATTCTTCAATTGTACCCAAAACAATTTTGTGCACCTGGCACTTCGCCCTCTACGAGGGCATAAAGCCACAAGGAATAAGAAGAATAAGAATAAGAATACGAAACATAGTGCTCCAGAGCACTTAGAAACGGCCTGTTTGTCAAGAACGGTTTGTGAGGGGCGGCAACTTTTTCCCCACCACCGAGCAATCCATTCATTTTCGCTGACTGCTATATCGGCTGGAACGATGATCATGACCCGCGCGGCTACGCGAAATCTGTAACATCGACAGAGGCGATGATCACGAAATCCTACTCCCGGACTCGCCGCTACGATTTAGCGCCATGCTTTTGGTATCGCCTAAAACCGGAGCGTTGTGCATCCCCCACTCATCTCTGCCGGAGCGTCGTGCATCACCCCACTCATCTCTGCAGGCTCATTGGCAATCTCCCTACTCATCTCTGATACAACTATGCATATAGCTTAGTTTCCACCGTGCGGAGTTTAAACAGAGTCAAACAGCCCTATTGGTCAATTCCATTCAACCCCTATACGTGATTGGTTAACTTTGTTTAAACTCTGAACTGTGGAAACTAACGCCATGTTTAGACGACGGTCTTAAACCGATTAGTTAATACTGACCAAATACCACCATACGACCACCAATCGATTGGTGAAAAGAAAAATGTAAAATTTGAAGTGGGAGGAGGGCTATGTTAATGCTAAAAAATTGTTATGGATTTTCAAAGTAAACCGAAAACCACCAAACGTTTTGAATGGACTACCAAATACCACCAAACGACCACCAATCGATTTATAAAAAGAAAAATGTCGAAAGTCAAAGTGGGGGGACTAACTTTGCGGAGCTCGCCGAAACCAGAGAAAAATTGAGACCACCAAAAACAGGCTCATTGGCAATCTCCCTACTTATCTCTACTCTACTTACGAGGAAAAATGTACTAAAAAATTAAGCTTAAGGCTGGTCCGCCAAAGGTTCAATCAAATCATTGGTCCAGCTCTGTATTCTTCAATTGTACCCAAAACAATTTTGTGCACCTGGCACTTCGCCCTCTACGAGGGCATAAAGCCACAAGGAATAAGAAGAATAAGAATAAGAATACGAAACATAGTGCTCCAGAGCACTTAGAAACGTTAAAATAAACAGGCAGAAAGAAAAATGATAAATATTGATTATGATTATAAAAATACTAAGCTCTCAATAACATTTGCATCACTAGAATAGAATGTTGATTCATAATGTACATACAAATACGTTTATGCGTAAGTGTGCACCCACTCTAAGATTCGTCCACCTCAGAAAATGGCTGTTGTCAGAAAAAGTGATACTATGTTCAAGCTGTGCGTTTTTAATAATTTTACAAAAATACGCATTATGTATTAATTTTGGAATGGTGTTAACGAAAGTTAGTCTAGTAATCCTGATGATAATTTCATTAGGAAAAGATACTTTCATAACCTCAAATTGTCAAGTGCTTAGTTTATTTTACTGAAATAGAACAGGTAAAATCAAAATTAGTGTGCGGATGTATACAAAAAAAATTTTAGTAGTGACCTTCTGCAAAAATTCTTATACGATATACAAGAAATCTTGAATCTAATTTTTTGCTAAAATTACTACTTGTCTACATTCAATCAATTAAAACAATAAGTAACAGCTGGTTTATGTAAATATGTTATATAATGTGCAAACTTGATCATGGATACTAATAATCTTAATACATTTTATAACTTTTGCCATTAGCAATTGATTTGTTGAAAGTAGATGTACATCGTCTTAAAATTCAAATCTGTATAAATTGACTGTAGTATATATAATGCAAAGTCAAAAGTAGAACGACTTTCATTCTTCTAACATAATATTTATATCATAGTTTAATGGAAGTGTTTAATTTTCATGAAGTTGCAAAGGGGTGTAGTAATTAAGAATATTTCTTGATGTATTTCTTTCTTTTATAATTGTTTTACTGTTTGAACATGATAGAATTATATAAATGTATGTTTAATAAATACTATTATCAAAAATAAAAATTTATGTCAAGTATTGTCTTATACAGTATTACCTCCAAAAATTGTTAATCAAAAAGATTGAAACTATATCAATAAACAAAAGTAACTATTATATCATATATTTTTGTATCGATTATAGGATCATTGGGAAAGACCATTATAACTTAGAATAATGGAATCACTTGAAAGGAATCATACTACTGAAGACAATGTAAATGACAGAAATGTTGATTGGTCCAGGTTTGGACTTGGAAATAATGACAATCAAAGAGTTGAACGGAGAGACAATGATGGATATGAAGAGTTTAATCCGGGAATGTATCAAACTGGAGTAAATGAATTATTTGCACAGGAATATGTAAGTCTAAATCCATTTTATCATAATTGTGTTGTTCGTTATTAAACAATTTATCAGAGATTATTCAACAATGTTTTTATGTCTTTCAAAATTGTTTTTGTAGAATTCTGATCCATGGTGGAAATCAAATTTTTTTTTGTCACAACCAGTTCTCTTTGGTACTTGGGATGGTGTCTTCACTTCATGCCTTATTAATATTTTTGGAGTAATAGTTTTTCTTCGATCTGGATGGATTGTTGGTCAGGCTGGTGCTTTAAATGCTGTTTTAATCATCTTGTCAACTGGTAATAAATTTAAAAAAATGAAGTATGATGAACAATGATTGTGTTGACTTTAGTAATTTCCAACTTCTTTAGTTAGCATAGCGCTAGTCACTGTACTGTCTGCTGTTGGAATTTGTGAAAGATGTCGAGTGGAAAGTGGAGGAGTATACTTTCTTCTTTCACACGTTCTTGGTTCCAGATTTGGTGGTTCTATTGGTTTACTATACTGTTTTGGTCAGGTATGTTTAAACATTTTTTGAAAGTCAAATATATAGAACTCTCAACCTTTATGATAATTAACTGTTCATTAGGTGTGTGGTCTTCCATTGTGAACCACTTCCCTTTCACATAAGACAATTTGTGTAAAGGTTGTATGCATGTAATTTATTTTAATTTACTCATCGACCAAATATCTATCTACATATATCATCAAATACTATGTCATAAATGTATTAGCTACCTAGTTTTAAACTATCAGAATCAGTTTTCTTATTTGATAATTTAAATGGTCTCTAAATGTGGACCACACTTTTGCACTTGTCAGGAATATACATATGTCAAAAGTAGTGTTAAACTATATACAGTAAATAGAAGCAAGATTTCGCAATATAAATTAAATATTATATGCATAACAATAGAATATAAATAACAAGAGTAAACAGATATAGGAATATAAATATTTGTAATAAAGTACAAATAATTGTTTATAAAAAAATTTCTAAGTGTTTTAGTAAATAGCAATAAGAAGTAGGGATGCCGTTTTAATATCGATTATTTCAAAAATCAATCTTTTAAGTAAATTTTCAAGCATTGAATAATTAACAAAATCAACCTATCCCTTCCAGATTGATTTTCGAAATTCTTGTATGTATGTAATTTCATTTCTTTATTTATGTTAGAGTAGCGATTACTGCGTGGAGTAGTGGTAACACTAAATTACACAGTCAAACGATACTTTTATTATCGATAGTATTAAAATTCTCATTGCTGAATATTATAGCTCCTGGCTATTCAAGGGTATATATGTATATTCCGCATTTGTACTACGATTGCAATTATTAAATTTCAGCTAATTGTCTCGATTGATTCCGGTTGAGGCTAAAAAATCAGTTAATGACATTGGTTGATCTTTCAATTCAATTTTGGGATATATCTTAAATTTTAGCAGTTAAATTTATATTGTATCAACTTTTACTTGACTACGTGGAAACGTGTTTTGTGCATTATGCAGTGTGCAGTATGAAAATTGATGATTGTACCCATATAAAAAATGTACTACAATATTAATCTTAAAGATCAATACTTTAGCATTGATTCGGCAACCCTAATAAGAAATATAATTTTTTTTTAACTGTTTATATTTTAGGCTGTGGGTTGTGCACTGAACGTTCTGGGATTCGGCGAATCAATGGCAGGACTTGTTGGTCTCCAATCAGCTTGGGTGCAGCGTGGATTTGCATGTGCTGCTGTTATTCTTCTGTCCGTAATTAACGTGGCGGGTGTTAAATGGGTCGTAAAGCTCCAATTTGTTTTGCTTATTATTCTTCTATTGGCTGGTGTGGACTTTATAATTGGGAGCTTCATTCACGAAAACGTTGGTATGCAAGTCTTGATATTTCCATTTTAATTCGTGATTTGTAAACTTGTCACATGATTACGTTTGAATATTTTTCTTTTATTCTCCAATACACACAACACATTGTATACGATATTAACGTAGCGTTGTTTACGCATTAATTTAAACATATGGTCATTTAGTGAATTATAGTCAGTTCAAGAGTTTCATAAGTTTTTTTAACAAATCAAAAATAAAGTCCTTAGAAAAATAAAGTCCTCAATGCATACTTATTAGTATATAAAATGTTTATTGCAAAGTATGTATACGCATGATTATGCACTAAATATATTCAATTTTTTTACTTTAGTACATATTTACATTATCTTGCAGAAAACCACGTGTGATTTACTAAGGATTGCATAGGTTGTAATCTATCAAAATGACTTATTGTCAAACTAGCGAGTATTGTATTATCTCTGTTTAGCTACATGCATTCGAAAAGGAGACTAGCACTAATAACAATATTGGTAGGGAGTGTTAAAATACACACAATATAATTTTACATTACACACAAGACTCATTGCCTCACTTTTGCACAATGTTCTACATCAATATGTACAGTAATGTGCAATTGAAGTGGAACACTTGAATTTTTGTGTATTTCGGCGCACCTATGACCGATTTCAAAAAACCAAAGACATATTTTTTAGGAAATTTCCTTCCCGCTCGAATGGTAGAGGTTTTATTCTAATCGGATACAAAATACCTGAACGGCAGGGGTTGGAGTGAAATAGTTTATTTTCGGACTTTTTGAAAAGAGCGAGAACTAGTAGTTCCGGGAGAAAATTTGTATTTGTAATGTTGGCACGAGAGAGAGCATCCTTCGACATTAAAAAAACACCCCCATTGAACCCATAGGATCCCTGAACCATTGAACCCTGTAGGATCACTCTAGGGGGAGCTACACTTCCTTGAAGTGAAAACACTTAATTGGCCATAACTTCCGACCGCGCCGGCCAATCTGATCCAGTTTCTGCGTGATATCATCTTTAATAATACTGACAGTGACAATGACAATCATAATGACAATCGCTTGGCGCGCGTAGTAGGGTAGTAGTCACCCGAGTACCTCGAGCGAAACTCGCAAAATTTAGGCGTTTTTTCAAATGAAAAATTTAACCCCTTAGCAAACTCATTTTTGAATGTTTAAAAGCGCGTTTTAATTGTTGAAATCTCAGCTACAACGTGGAATAAATATAAAACTTCTATTTCGTCGCAATCCTAATGAAAAATGGCGGGGAAACTTGGGGTGTGTTTGCGATATCTCGAGATCTCCGTCACGGGATCATTTTCGAGAATAATAATTTTGTGAAAATCTGCAGTATCATTAATGATGATATCATGCAAAAACTGAACCAGATTGGCCGGCGCAGTCGAAAGTTATGACCAATTAAGTGTTTTCACTTCAAGGGAGTGTAGCTTCCCCTAGAGTGATCCTACAGCGGCTCGATGGGGGTGTTTTTTTAATGCCGAAGGATGCTCTCTCTCGTGCCATAATTAGAAATATGATTTTCTTCCCAGAACTACTAGTTCTCGCACTTTCTAAAAAGTCCCAAAATGCACTATTTCACTCCAACCCCTGCCGTTCAGCCATTTTGTATCCGATCGGGATAAAACCTTTATCATTCGAACAGGAAGGAAATTTCCTAAAAAATGAAGCTTTGGTTTTTTGAGATCGGTCATAGTTTCGCAGCAATATACAAAAATTAAAGTGTTCCACTTCAATTGTACATTACTGTATATAGTACGTTTAAAGCATTTGCATTTGAATATTTATAAAAAAAAATTGCGTCTGTTTTTATATTTCAGAAGTGGGATTTGAAGGCTGGTTGTCAGGAAATTTAAAAAATAACACTTTTTCTGCATACGAAGACGGTTACGGCTGGTTTACCGTTTTCGGTGTTTTTTTTCCAACAGTAACTGGCGTATTAGCTGGCATTAATATGAGTGGTGATTTGAGGCACCCTTCTACTGACATTCCGAATGGAACATTGGCAGCTTTGGGCACAGGGTAATGCATTCATAAAAACTTCATTATTAATACAAACGGGCAGTTATTAATTTTACTCAAATCATTTTATATTTTCAGGACCTTCCTTTACTTGTGTTTTTCCCTGTTTCTCGCAGCAACCTGTACTAGAACTGCATTACTCACAGATTTTATGATTGCTTCTACCGTTTCTGCATTCTCAGTCCTATTGCTTGCTGGACTTTATGTGTCTTCATTTAGCAGTTGCTTAGGTGCTATGTACGGTACTCCTCGTGTTCTTCAATCCATCGCGAGTCAAAATGTCATTCCTGGAATGAGCTGTTTGCAACGAGGAGTGAGTAAAATTCTTCAATTTTATTATCTCATTTTTATTATGTCTTTAATTAGTACACTTGGCAAATTTGTTATGTAATGAAATTTATATTTGTTTATATATTCAACTATACTAAACTATCAACTATACTATCAAAACAAGGTGGCAATATTTTTATTTGATGTTTGTTTGTGACAGAGGGGGCCCAACAAAGTTCCAGTTTATGCAATGATAGTCGTGGCTATAGTAACACTGACTTTCATTATTACTGGCCAGATCAACACATTAGCGCCAATCGTGACGATGCCATTCCTTCTAACTTATGCGTGCATGGATTATGCCTATTTCGCGTTAGCTCAAACATTTGATATTCGACATACACGTGAACAGAGGTTTGATGTGCAGTCACCGACCTTTGATCGAAATTACGGTTCAGCAGCGCATCAAGATAGTATTTCGGAAATTGAGAATGACTTAGATAGCCTCTTTCCAGAGAGAATCCGTCATAAAAATCTAACGGTAAATTTTGTGTATGCATCTTCAATATTTTTAGAAGATATAAAGTTCAAAAATGTCCACCTTAATCTCTTTAACCTATGCTGAATGCTAACATAAGGTACTTTTTGTAGTATCACTACAAGAACACGGTGATGATTTATGAAAGTTCTTGTACATATATGAATTATTAACAAACACAATCATATACTCTATAAATGTACAGCTTATGATTATTATATTTATGTAAATCATGAATTTTGTAATGATTTGAATTAGAATTTTTTTTTTTTTTAGAGAAATCCCAGTATTTCGGAAAGTACAAGTCATTTAGAATCATCTCCCAGTATTGAGGGAAATGGAAGTGTTGTCAATGATGCATCTGTGCGGAGGCCAAATATTCATAAGAAATTGGGAAACTGGTATAGTCCGCTTTGCAACAGATGGTTTTCTTTGCTTGGGGTAAGTTTAGTTTAAAGTTCTTTAAATTATACGAGTCATCTTATAACTTTTTTTAGTGGTGCTATAATATAATAAAAAGTTAATAGTCTAAGAATGTTAATAATCTAAACGTCTTACGATTTTCGAATCTGCAATGTTTTATTAAGAAAGTTTTTGATACACCTATATTTTGGTATAATCTCTAACTATTAAGGTAGCGCTCTGACTGGAGGCTTCTACTACGGTTTGATAGAGGAGGCGTCGTAATTAAGTGAAAAAAATAACAAAAATAAATCATCAACTCACGACTGATTTTTTTTTTAAATAACACCTAGTGAGGTTAACTATCATCTAATAATATTACTAAAACATTGAAACCTCAATAAGATAGTGCAAGAATGATATGAAACTGCATGAACCAGTATGCCATTCACATCATAATATCAAAGATGAACTTTAGATATTTATTTAAACTACGTCGTTAGTATCATACATACAATGTCTAAAATAAATATTCACTATTTTACAATCAGCAAATAATATTGCGGTGACTATTATTTATTTCTCTGAGAATGGAACAATCTTTAATGTTCATAGTTATCTTTGCAGTGTCATTTTTTTTATTTATTTTAAATGAGGTAAGGATAGATATGTTTATACATATAGACATGAAGTGCATTTTCATTAAAAGTATAAAAGTGACATAATAATTAATAATGATTTAGGATTAGAGGAATCAATTATACTTTTAAGTTAATGGCTCTTCAAGATGTAAAAAAACTTTCAATCGTAAATTTAATGCAATCTCTTAAACGCTTTTCCTTCTTCGCTGCGACTATTCTTAAATGCATGAGAATCTATCAAAATTTGCACTCTGATGTAATCTGTTGATATGTTACAAATGGAATTTTTGTTCTTATTTTATATTAGGGGTACTAACCACGTGTTTTAAATAAATATCTAAAGTTCAACTTTGATACTATGAAATGAATGTCACAATTGTATATAATACTTGCACTACCATAAAACTGCACTTGTCAAGGCTCAAATGGTCAGAAAATATTATTACATGAAGTTAACTTTACTATGTGTTATTTAAAAAATCAATCAGTCGTGATATAATAATTTACTTGTGTTACAAAATACAATTTTAACAATAAAGAAGGTGGCTAAACGAATAATGTATCAAATTAGTTGAAAACAAAAGAGAAAAATGATGATAAAGGTTTCTTAGTTTCTAACATCATCTTTTTGTGTTATAGCTGATCAGTAAGCTTAACATTATAATATTGATGTGTTGCAGGCCCTGATAAAAATACTCATAATGTTTCTGGTCCATTGGGGCTATGCCATTGCGAACATTGTTGTCGTTTTCGTGGTTTGGAGCTATGTAGGCCATGCAAACCCAGCAGTCAAACCAGGAGTCTCGGCTGAATTTAAGTTCTTCGAATGGCTAAGGAATTTACTTCTCAGAATAATGGGGTATGCCACATTGCATTTTTTGTCTAAATATTTTGTCTAAAAAATTCTCATTTCTTCTTTATGCTGAAATATAATTTCTAATGTAGGCAGTAAAAAATTAACTAAATGATTGTCTGCAACCAATTAGCTTTGTTAATATTCCAATAATATGATTAATTTTCTAGGAGGCGAGTATACGACTATGAGCAAATAATTGTGACATCAGTTCATCCAGGTGTTGAAACTCGCTCAGCACAACTTAATGAAGAGAATGAAGATTTTGCTAGTAGACGAAGATATCATCAAACAGCAACAGTAACAGGTCACTATGTTAATGTTGATTAACAATATAACTGTATCTTAAGTGGGCTTCACAAAAGACTTCCTGCCTATTGTCAAAAAAGTTCCCACTGTTAACGAATTTAGACATTTGGAGCTACTATATTTTATGCTTGTGTTATTCTTAATAGTAGTAAAATAAGAACAAATATCGTGGGCACAAATTCGCAGATAATGCTGCTATTTATATAATTTATAAACAATCAATGCTTTTGTACTCACTTGAATGTAGAATTGATAAAATTGTACTACAAACGGATGAATTAGCTTAAGTAACCATGTAAGTGAAATGTAATTGTTGCTTATAGAATTATGGATGAGCAAGAAACCTTTTTGTTTAAACTAGCACATTTCCACTTAACTACAATTTAAACCTCAACTTTTAATTAATTAAGTATTAAGTTATAAAGACTTATCTTTGCAATAAGAATAATGTTTGTATTACATTCAAGTTTAGTAGTCAAATTAAAATATGAATATTAAGCTCTCAATCAATCGCACAACTGAATATATCATGTCAATACAATGCAATACAACTTTAAATATTTAAAAAATTCTCGAATAATACATTACCGGATATGCGTTATATATTTAGGCCTATATAGTCAATCCACGAGTTCAATGTGTTTCTTTGATAGATCGGAAATGATGAAATCTTCAATCAGCTACATACAGTAACGTCGAAATGAAGTGCAACACTTGAATTTTTTTACATTTTTGTGAAAGTATGACAGATTTCGAAAAACCAAAGACATATTTTTTAGGAAATTTCCTTCCCGTTCGAATGGTAAAGGTTTTATCCCGATCGGACACAAAATGGCCGAATGGCTGGGGTTGGAGTGAAAAAGTGCATTTTGGAATTTTTTAAAAAATTCGAGATCTAGTAGTTTCGAAAGGAAATTCATATTTCTAATTATGGCACGAGAGGAGAGAGCATCCTTCGGCATTAAAAAAATACTCCCATTGAACCCCTGTGGGATCACTCTAGGGGGAGTTACACCCCCTTGAAGTGAAAATAGTTAATTGGCCATAACTTCCGAACGCGCCGGCCAATCTGGTCCAGTTTCTGTGTGATATCTTTAATGATACTGCAGATACTCACAAAATTATTGTTCTCGGAGATGATCTCGTGACGGAGATCTCGAGATTTCGCAAGCGCCCCGGAAGCTTCCCCGCCATTTTTCATTGGGAAAGCGATGAAATAGAAGTTTCATATTTATCCACGTTGTAGTTGAAATTTCAACGATTAAAACGCGCTTTTAAACATCCAAATATGAGTTTGCCAAGGGGTTAAATTATCCGTTTGAAAAAACTCCTAAATTTTGTAAGTTCCGCTCGAGGCGCTCGGGGGACAATTGCTTAGCGCGCGTGGTAGGGTAGTAGCAGAGATGAGTGGGGAGATGTACAACGCTCCGGTTTTAGGCGATACCAAAAGCATGGCGCTAAATCATAGCGGCGAGTCCGGGAGTAGGATTTCGTGATCATCGCCTCTGTCGATGTTACAGATTTCGCGTAGCCGCGCGGGTCATGATCATCGTTAAAAGCATGGCGCTAAGTAAGTTCCGCTCGAGGCGCTCGGGGGACAATTGCTTAGCGCGCGTGGTAGGGTAGTAGCAGAGATGAGTGGGGAGATGTACAACGCTCCGGTTTTAGGCGATACCAAAAGCATGGCGCTAAATCATAGCGGCGAGTCCGGGAGTAGGATTTCGTGATCATCGCCTCTGTCGATGTTACAGATTTCGCGTAGCCGCGCGGGTCATGATCATCGTTCCAGCCGGTATTGCAGTCAGCGAAAATAAATGGATTGCTCGGCGGTGGGGAAAAAGTTGCCGTCCCTCACAAACCGTTCTTGACAAACAGGCTGAACAGCAAGGTCTTCCGTCCAACCGAACCCTAAACGTTTGTATAGACGTAATGCGCAAACAAATGTGTATATTCAATTAATTTCAAAGTTATAAAAAATGCATAGAAATATTGTTTTTCACTCTTTACCTCTTATCATGCCGAAAATGAACATTAAAAAATGAATGGCGAAATTCGTTGGTAAATGAAACGACCGAGAACAGTTCAAAGAGAAATTTTGAAATATCATAGATAAATATCTATAGAAAATTTAATTTAGAATTAAACGAGCATCGCTGAGTCAATAATCTGTCAAGATATATCGCTGCTGGTTACGGGTTCGATCCCCCATGAAGAACTCTTTAACCATCTTCTTTTCTTTATTTTACTACAAAAATTGTTAAAAGTTCCTCTCTTTTAACCTTTCTAGGTTGCCCAAACTTTATTTTAAGTTTATATATATTTTTTTAAATTTTATCTATGACAGAATCGGCTAATATTTTAAAAGCCTGCTCGTACCGCGCGACCGGCGACTTGAGCGATTGCGGATCCTCTCTCGCTAAGGGGTCTGCTATTGCTGTTACTGCTGCCGCTGGTTCTTATAATCTTATAAATACTTTTTTATTTGCAATCTTCAGTTGCAGCGCCCAGTATAAATGCAATAAGATTTACTATGAGAAAATAATTAGCTCACTTCATTACCTGGAATCAATAATCTTGAGAAGCAAATATGGAAATGAGCATTATCTCTGTCTGTAATTGTTCGTCCACGTGGAGAAGGGTGGCGCGAAAGTTCTTAACTGATGTGCATCTTCATATTATTCTGCTTATATGTAAAGTAAGCGAAACGCTAATAGTAAGCAGTTGAATATACGATGAAATACAACTTCCGAAACAAGTAAAACATACACGTGTTTTTGGCGTATGGCTAGTGCACCCGGTTAAGAATCGGGAGGTCTATGGTTCCAGACCCCTCTATGGAGAGCATTTTTTTTACAAAAAAAAAAAAAATGTGCTTTTGCAAATGGGATGAACATATTAAAGAGTGTATCAAATTAATTTATTTATCTTATTACAATAAAGTTTCTTCATTGAAGATGATTACGACAATTATATTACCTATATTTCACACACACCTGACGCGTATAAATATCTAAACGTAAGAGGAATTGAGAAAAGGACAATTGGGAAGAATAGTATATCGGTCTATTGAGATTACGTACTGGCGACTTCAACACAACAGTCTAGGAATCTGACAGATCGAATCTGAGCGGGCGTCTGCAACAATGTTGCTAACTATCCCGCGACTAGCAATACACATTGGGGCCTGCAGCGTCAGGTCGTTCACAGTCGTACAGGCAGTAGCATCATGGTAAGTAGTTCTTCAATAGTTATAAGGAAACAAGACGCAACACGTCTCATGTTTATTTTATTACTATGAAGGATATTGCGAGAGAGAATATTGTGAGTTAATAGAAAATGATTTTCGATCCTGATGACAACCTTTTTTTAAAAATATTTTATATAAGCTTAAAATAAAGTTTGGGCCACCGAGAAAATTTGAAAGAGAGGAACCTTGAAAAATAGTATAGGCCGATCGTAGTATAGGCCTACTGGGGACCCGCTACGTTAAATAATGGGAACGTATCGACTGCGGCACCTCTTGGGTGATGTGGAAGCCCGCAGGTTGTCGTTGTTTATGCCTTTATTGTAATAAGATAAATAAATTAATTGGATATACTCTTTAATATGTTTATCCCATTTGCAAAAGCACATTTTTTTTTTTTGTAAAAAAAATGCTCTCCATAGAGGGGTCTCGAACCATAGACCTCCCGATTCTTAACCGGGTGCACTAGCCATACGCCAAAAACACGTGTATGTTTTACTTGTTTCGGAAGTTGTATTTCGAGAATTTGATCGTTTATGACGCAAGATGTTTTTCTGCTCTTCAAGTTTTTCACGCTGCATGTTGCAATCACTGAATCCAAAATGCTATTGTATCCATTTTTTCGATGCGACTGTGAGTTGAGCGACTGTTAAAAGCAATGGTTATTGAAAATTATGATAACAGTTTTTTAAAGACAATCCTTCCATGCAAGAATTAATCGAAAGTTGATCGTATCTATAAGAGTGTCCCAGGAAAAAATGTTTACATCTATTTTGATCTAAAGAGATATAATATCGAAAACAGGAATCTACATCAATGGTTAATTCAAATGAAGCAGTTGCTGATCTTCATGAAATAAAAAATATTATCTTCATTTAACATATTAATTAATGTATACTAATTTTCCTCGTCATCCTATGCGTCTGCCGTGTTCGCCTGCTCAACTGATTCTATCTCTCGTCCTTCTTTCTACGTAGTCTAAACATTCAACCTTCCATACCATCAGCCCTTTCTTTCAGATGTCCTATTCCGAGGATAGAAACTCGAGGGCCTGGCAAATGTCCCTTAAATTTATTACTCTAGCCTTTAATTTATTTCCTAGGAACACTTATCCCTAAAAATCAACATATACTTATTTTCTGGAGGAATCGTACTTATATCTAGCAATAGTTCGGAAATTTCATCTAGATTTAACTAGGTCTACGTCGATCCAAGATCTTAATTTTAGACATACTAGATCTTGGATAGATCCTATAAGATCTAGTCAGTTCTTATATAAGAATGGAACCCAGATAGCACTAGATCTCAGCAGGTCTCATTAATTCTGAAGAAATTTACTGCTATGTCTCACTATATGTATATCTTCAAATCTATCAGTTTTGATTAATCAAAGATCCGATTTTTGCGATTGATTTAAGAACGATAGAGGTGACTTCGTATTAAAAATAACCTCGTTATGGGAATTTAGATATTGTTAGTATTCAAGGTTAAGATATTATCAGCAAATGAATTGAACCGATGAAGATGAAATACATACAGGTTATTAAATCAATATTCTCTCTGAATAACAAGATAAAGGATACAAGCTGGAATAATTATAGAAATAAGACATGTTAATCTTGTTTATTAATAAGCGATTAATTATACATATAATAATTAAATATATTAAACGTAGTGGAGTTGCATTCTTTCGGCGTGATAACTTAATCGTTTCCTTATAATTATTTTACTCTGCAGAGAATAAAGATTATTCAGGAAAATCATTTTAATCGTAAATTTTCTTATGTATACTTACGCATAAGTATGTATATTTATAAATACAAACGCAGTGCGTAGTCTATTGAATTGCATAGGTTGCAAAAGAAGCAATCGATCTGACTTTTGACATATAAACTAAACCAACCTATAATATTGAAATCGACCAAGCAATCCTTGGTTACGCACGCATTTCAGGTATTTTCAATATCAACAGCTTCACACTGTTACGAGTTACGGAGGAAACTGTAACGCGATTTGTTAAAATCTTCGAATATTAATTCTGGAATTCATATGTAAATGACGTAATCATTTATGTGAAAAAATAACGCTTTTTAAAAGTTAACAGTAAAGCAACAGCTATACATATGAGGCTATTGAAGTTCTTATTACGATACTTTCCACCAGGTACGATTAATCCTCTAATCTATTTTATGGATTTTCTATCTAGTATTTTATAAATATACAACCGATAAGTTATCAAGTCAATGAATGCAGAATCAAGTAATAAATTATTAAATTAATATACTGCATAACTATGGATACTTCACGTATACAGTTCCAGAAAAAATTCCACTAAACTGCATAATCTTGTTTCTGGTGTATATTAATGATTGAAAATGCATTTATTATCGATTTAAGTATTTTTTTTTAGTATAAGTATATTTCCTAAAAATACTTGAATACTCGTTTCTGGGAATTCGGCCTTAATATAACCTCTAAAAAATAATTATCAGGTTTTTTTTCAACATCTAAAACATGCATTACATAAAATAAAATTTAAAATCAATTAATTAAGTATAAAAAATGATTTACTGAATAATTTTGTTAAATAAATTTTAACATATTAATAAATAAAACCGTTTATTAGTCGATAACCTAAAGATTCGAGAAAAAATGTGTCAAATGTATATCTATGAGACAACCACATAGCAAATGAAAATGTATTTTAATTGATTTGATTCAGATTTAAGTACTTAAATTATGTACTAGTCTTTAATTCAATTTAAATATGTGCAAAAATGGTTTAATTGTATAATGAAACTTCTTAAAATGTTTATAGCATACTTTCTTCAATTGAAGGCATTACCTATTAATGTTTTAACATAGCAGAAAATTGCTTAATTTATACCGATGCTAAAATTGTTCTATCGCGATACTTAAGTAATTATGTGACTTTAACAACATTTATAAGTTACTTACTTCATTTTGTTATAAAAAAGTAGCTCGTTATGGATAATACCTTGATTGTTTTTCAATTATCTATAAATAATTTACGAATAAAAATATAACAATAAGAGGTACAAATTTGGCAATCTTACCTTTACATCATCTGATTTAAAAATTCTTAAACTCTTGAATTTAACCTTATTTTGCTACTTAACCATATTCGGTATAACTCGATCTTTTGCAATAAATTACCTTCGTGAAATGCTTAAGGGGAGCATACTATTTAGACGGCCGAAAATGAGGCATTTTTCATGATTTTTTTTGAAGGTGATAAAATAATCGCATCATTTTGAAATTGTGGTATCATTTTATTCCACCTTTAAAGCATAGAAATATATTTTTTTTTGTTATGAAAGAAAATGGCGGCTTTGTGTGTTATTTGGCCAGGCGTCTTTTGCGTGACACCGAAAAGTGCTGCACTTGTGACGTTCTTTGTAGTGATCTGAAACCAAAAAAACAATTATTTTTCGATTACTGACATGTAAAGGGGAAGGACTAACCTAAAAAACAATGAAACAGTATAGAATTAAAAATTTGGTAGGCTGTTGAAAAAAATGTTCGAATTTTCGACCATTTTTTCGACAGTTTTTACCCCAAAAAAATATTTTATTTACGCGATATCTTTAAAACTTTAGGTTTGCCTTCCGATAATATTATAGAGAATCACCTCCCAAAAATTCAGCCAGATTGACCAATAACTTTTTGAGTTACAACATGAGCAGTTTTTGAAAATGTAGTTTCAGCGATTCCAGACGCATATAATAATTCTTCAGCCTCTTTGAAAAGCTGATTCTCTTCCATTTGTTGTTGTTTTCTGACTATACGAGCTGCTTCAGTTTCAGAAAGACTCATCTTGTTCTGCCTCGCTACTCACGCCTCATCGGTGTTTTCGGTGAAAACTTTCAAATAGGTGCCAACAATTATATCTAAATTGTTCATAATTCTAATATTGGAGGTGTAGCCTTCATTAAATATCCCAGCAGCAATATAGGTTGAGATTTCAATGATTTTTAATCCAGAATGTAAGTGCTTTGGGGATAATCGCCAACCTGTCGCGTTGAAACTTTCATTGGCATTCTGGGTATGGCCACCCAAGCATCTTTCCAGTAAATCATCGCTAGATAAATCTTCATAAATTGGTAGGAGTTGCTGTTTAATCTCGTCGCCAAGTAATGGAGTAAAATCTTCAAAGAATTATACAAAGATATTGTAAAAGAAACGTTGCTCCACCCCAAGCGCTCCGGCTATCAGACCTGCTTGTTTACGGTATGCGGACCCCGGCGCTCTCGACTATGTGCAATAACTCCATAAATATTTATTATTTCGATTTGTTCTTTTTCCAGTACATTCTTAATATATTATACTTTTGAAATATGAAAAAAAATTCGATTTTTTGAAAATTCTAAATAGTGTGCTCCCCTTAATCCCTAATGTTAAAAATATGTCGATAATTGAAGGCAAAGCGTGAACAACACTTGACACAATTAAACCTTAAGCTAATATTGTCCTCATGATCGAACAACCTTGAATAGTACGTATTTTTTTATTTTAGGAATTGCATTGGAATATACTCAAGGTGGCGACGTTAAAACCAAAATGATCGATCTTTTGGATTTGTCCGCTAAGTAAATTGAAAAAAAAAAAAATAAAATCCTATTATAAACTCAGTTTAAGCTTTACATATTTTTGAAAAAATGTTTCAGAACCGACGTAAAGGCACTGGCAGAGAGTATACGAGTCAGTGAGCCGATGATAACCGAAAGCGTGATGGACCAACTGGTTGAGACGTTAGAAAAATTGCAAAACAAAGTATGCGATAGTGGTGCAAAACGTTATTACAAATATAAAACATTGCAAACGCATTTACTTCCACTGACCAACATAGCGTTTGATAAACTAGGTAAAAGGTACTTCCATTTATTTTGACGTTTCCCTTAATTTTGTCAATTTTCATATTTAAAATTATGTGTCCTTTAAAATTGTTGTTATCTCAAGAAACTGAAAACAAAGATTATTGAAATTTATAAAAATATCAATCTGTATTAATAACTTCATTGTTATTGTTTGATTTTCACTTCTGTTGTTGTTTGTATTACCAGATGCCTGACGGGCAGCTATGACCGAACTTGTAAAGTTTGGGACATTGACAGTGGAACGGAGCTTCTTACTCTCGAAGGCCATAAAAATGTAGTCTACGCAGTGTCCTTCAACAACCCGACTTCGTGAGTCAAACTTCTGAAGATATAAATTCGTGCATGTAACAAACGCGATAAAAATAAAAGAGCAAGAGTTTAAATGAATATTGAAGCTTAAGTTTTTTTTTTAATTGCCTGCAAACAATGATTTTAGGGACAAAATCGTGACTGGATCATTTGATAAAACCGCAAAAGTGTGGTGCTCACAGACGGGTCACTGTCTCGTTAGTATGTGGGGTCACGATGCAGAGGTGGTGGTAGCTCGATTTTCACCAACACAGAGTAAAATTGCTACGGGATCAATGGACGCCACCGCGAAAATTTTTCATTTGGGATCAGGTTAATCGATAAAATAAACCTTTCAATTATTTCGATTAATATTGATACTTGATGTTGTCATACATGCTTAAAAAATCTTATTAAAACCGATTGAAATTAGTGAGTCGGAAGAAATTAGATTTGTGCATCAGACATTTTTAATCAAATATTATGGATATTTACTACTGAGACTGAATGACACTCCCCTTGATTTGAGTTAAAAAATTACTGTTTAAGAGATAATTGTCCAAATTACTTCCAATTCAAATACCAATGTTTCCGATTGCCCCAATTGAATCTAATTGTAGTTGAATCGGAAATCCATCGGTTTCCATTGATTTTAATCGGGTTGTCGAAGCACAGATATCTTCATCTTTTATCCAACATAAATTTAGTTGCCAATATATTATGACTATAATTGTTTTATCAGGTCAAGAGCTGGGTACATTGAAAGGACATACAGCAGAAGTGATAGCATTACATTATAACAATGACGGAAATCAGATAATCACAGGATCGTTTGATGGTACAATCAGTATTTGGGACACACGAACATTTCAGTTAGTCTAAATCTAATCATTATCATAGGTATAGTAAGTGGATACGTTGCATAACGATAGACTGAGATTTTTTTAACAATCCAGGAGAAGCAGCGTTTTGATTGGCCATCGCGAAGAGATCAGTAATTGCCTGTACAACTTTGACTGCACACTGGTTGGCTCTTCGTCGATGGATAAAACAGCCAAAGTTTGGGATACGCGCACTGATAAATGTTTGATAACGATACATGGACACGATGATGAAGTTCTTGATTTAAATTTTGACAACAATGGAAAAAAGTTAGCCACAGTAAGCAGCGACACTACTGCGCGAGTGTGGGATGTCAGTACTAATTTCAAACAATTAGCTATCATGGAAGGTCATCGCGAAGAAGTATCAAAAGGTACCTACTGGCTAATAATTTAATGATCTTATCGAATTAAACTTAAATAATTTATGAGAATAAAGTAAGATAATCATAATCAGTAGCATGACTGATCAACAGAATTAATAAGGTGTAGGTGGGTATTAAAGTGAAATTGACGAATTTTGCCTACTTAATGTTTTAATTTTTTTTGTAAAAGTATCCTCTGATATGGCATGAATTTTTATAGTGTGTTTTAGTCCGAACGGTCATCATCTTTTGACGTCATCCCTGGATAGAACGGCACGTCTCTGGTCGCTTGAATCAGGTTGTTGCATTCAAACGCTAGGTGGCCATACTGACGATGTGTTCAGCTGCGCCTTCTCATACGCTGGTGATACCGTCATCACTGCTAGCAAGGACAATACTTGCATGATATGGAGGTGACTCGATTGGTTTCAAGTGTGTACCTAGCTCGTACTCCTGACTCTTTTCATTTCATATGTTATTTACTTCTACGTACTCAAAACTTAATTGGAGTAACAATTTCATATACTAATCACAGGATCGTCAAACTATCAAAATATATAGGCATTATGTTCAACTTTAGCTATCTATTAAATTAATTGAAATAATACTATCGCGATTTTTGTTTATCTGTTGCCTTTTTTTGAAATATTATTTACGATTATTTTCTAACATTTTCAGTTTTTGATTGATCGTTAAACTGGCATTTGTGAATTCGATTTGTGATTGTGATAGTACAAGGTACCGAATTTGAAGTTAATTCGAATTACTACTTATTTAAGTTAGAAATTTAAAACTATGAATATCTTTTTTAATAAGAATATCATTTTTACAATAATCATAATTTTTCAATGGAAAGTATTATATAAATATTTTACAAGCATGCTACCCAGGTAACGCATCAAGGCGATAGTTGTATAAATGGAAGGTATTAGATGTATACCTGATATTATAGTAAATCTTATGTTTACAAAGATTTTAATCTATGTATTTAGTACAAACATAGTTCCAACTTGCACTGGCATCCATTATTTGAGCAGCAAAATAATCACTATAAGATACGCACGTGCCAAATAATACAAATTATAGGTGTATTAAATAGTTTTGATTAAAAAATATACGCTTCTGTTTTATGAGCATATTTTTGCAACTGATTTGAGAAATTTACTAATTGACTCAGTTATGCATATGTGCAGAAGAAGCAAATGTAAAGCTTGCAATAAAAAATTCGTGAAATATGATTCATCTACCATGAAACAGGTATGACCTGTCGGTAATTCGTCACAAATTTCCCCCTTATGTTGTGCGTTTTTGCACAGCGCAACATATTTACAGAAATTACACTTACAGCTTATAATTACTATGCCACGAGAAACCGAAATTATCTTTTTTAGGTATTCAATATGATTCACACATTCAGTCCAGATGATAGACATTAATGAATAATTACAATATGCCGCAATACGATCATAAAAATACATACATTCATACATTCATTTATGTCTCTATACGAATAAAACTTAATTCTACTTTACAATGCGATTATGTTACTTAATTAAAATTTATCCTATTTTAGTAATTAGCGTTTTGCTGATCAGTCAGAGAATTAGATGTATATGGAAGTCGGTATAATTTTACATTACTTCGATTATATGTTCCAACCACCTTTGTGTGGTCTTTACAATCGGTTAGAACGTAAGCATTCATCCGTATCTGTCGTGTAATTCTATATGGTCCTTCATAAAGATGAAAAAACTTCTTTGTACAATGATCCAGAATTTTAGATATGTGTGGAACGCGGAGTAACACAAGATCGCCAATATTTAATAAGACTTTCGATGGTTTATGCTGCTGTTTTTTCCTAATGTGATATTTCTTATTTATGTTTTCTCGTGCTAATTGTAATTGAGTATCCCGATGAATTTTTATTTCAGGTGGAAATTTAATTATAGTATTGATAGGATCAGTTATTGGTATTCCAAAATGCAATTCGAGGGGTATGCAACCTGTACTAGAATGCGTTGTTATATTAAGGAGTTTTTCTATGAACGATACATAGGATGCCCATCGGGTATGAGTATCTGAACAAAGTGTTCTAAACATCCGTCCGATTTCGCGCATTATCCTCTCTGTTGGATTAGATTGAGGGTGACGAATAGACGAATATAAAATATTGATATTTTCTTGAGCAAGCGTCTTTTTCCATACGGCAGATGTAAATTGCGTTCCATGGTCAGCTAATAAACGCTTGAATTTCCCAGCATAAGGAATATAATCTTTGATAAGACGATTGAGAGCACTTATTGCAGTTGCTCGTTTTAGCGTATATAGCTTAACCAATTTAGAGAAAGCATCAAGCAGCACAAAAATATATTGAACTCCACCCGTGGATCGAGGTAACGGCCCGTAAAATCAACGGTTACAAGATCATGAGGCCCAGTGGCCTCTATAAGTTGGTAGGGACCCTCCATATTTTGAGTATTTGGCTTAACTCTTTGACATAAATCACAACCAAGGATGGCCCTTTTTACTTGAATGCGCATCCTTTTCCAATAGAAGAATCGTTGAATATATGAAAAGGTTTTGTAAATTCCCGCGTGTCCTAATTTATTATGGCATTTAACTATTAACTTATCTGTTAATTTAAGTGGTACAATTATTCGCCAATGCTGATCAACCGAATTACCTATGAATACAACTCCTTCATGTAATTTAAATATGTCCGATGGTTCCTGAAGAAGTCTATTTTTTATTTTTAGAATCGCATCATCCTCCTGCTGGCTTTTTGCAATTTCCTTAATGATGGATTTATAATCAGAATCTTCTTTAATTTTGTTGACGATAATAATTGATTCGGAAGGTTTACTCTTATTGTTAAATTTGGGCAGTACCTTTATGAGAGGTATAACCGGGTTTTCTTGAATTTGTTGATGAAATTTTCGGGTCGGATGCCGACTAAAAAAATCAGTGACAATATTATCCCTTCCTTTACAATGGCTAATTGTGAAGCTATACTGTTGGAGCAGGATACTCCACCTTGCAAGGCGTGTACTCGTGTAGCTTGCACTTTTGAGAAACACTAACTCATGGTGATCTGTGATGATTTCAAAATGTTTGCCCAACAAATAAGCTCGAAGTTTATGAATAGTATAAATAATAGCTAAAAGTTCCTTTTCCGTAGTGGTATATCGAATTTCCGCTCCTGTCAAACATCGACTCACGATTGCTATTAGGCAAGGATTAGACTCATCGTCCATTTGGTAAAGAATACCGCAAATACCATGATCACTAGCACCACATTGCACCCTAAAAGTCGCGCCAGGAATTAAATGCCGCAATGTTACACAATTAAGAAAAACATCCTTGATATCACGAAAAGCCTGGGAATGTTTTTCAGTCCATTTCCAGGGAACATCCTTTTTTAATAGCTCTCGAAATGGTTCAACATAGGTAGCATATTTGATGCTGAACTGCCTATAGTAATTGCACATACCAAAAAAACTTTGCAGCTATGTTTTGGTCTGGGGCTCCCCGACATCCTCGATAACTTTTAAACGTTCTGGGTCCGGGCGTATTCCCTCAGCTGACAAAACATACCCAAGAAACTGCACTGATGATCTCACAAATTTTGATTTAGCTAATTTAAGCGTAAAGTTAAATACTGATAAACGAGTAAACACAGCATGAAGATGGGACAAATGGTCCTCCCAATTGCTTGAGGTAATTAACAAATCATCAATATAACAGACTAAAAATTTCGAAAATTCATCACCTAAGGCCATATTCAAAGCTCTAATGAATCCGCTACCGGCGGTTTTAAGGCCAAATGGAACTCTACGAAATTGGTACAATGAAGACCCGTACAAGAAAGCTGTATATTGCCGAGAACTTGGAGAAAGAGGTATTTGCCAATAACCATGTGTCAGATCAATCGTCGTTATAAATTTTACACTATAGTGTCGTTGCAGTAACTCTGCGATTAAGGGAGGTGATTCGTTATCACCCTCAGTAGTTATACAAGGAGAGTTCTGGACCAAGATTCCTGCACCGACATATTACCGACCTGTGGGTTCTAGGTGAGCAACGTTGGCGCCCCCTAGGTGAGCGACGTTGGCGCCCCCTGTGTGTGTGTGTGTGTGTATGGTAAGTACGGACTCGTGCACGTTCGTGCAGGTCTCGGACGTCAGCCCTCAGCCCGTCGAAACTTTTTGATGGCTTTCCGGGGTGGGGGGCAAGGGGCTGTCTCAAAACGTTGCGCGAGAGGACGGCCGGCTCTGGGAGCGATCCTTCGCGACTTAGTACGGACGCGAACCGTCGAAGCTTCCAGAATGTTCTAGAAGGTTCTAGAAGGATCTAGAATGTTCTAGAAGGTTCTCGATCGTGCGTAATTCCCGGAATCGAGCGCAAAATTCCCGGAATGTGACGCAAAATTCCCGGAATCGAGCGAAAATTCTTGGAATCGAGGGGTCTTGTTGACGTCACTTCCGGAAATCGTAGAGCTCACGACGGCAACTTAGCACGGACACCCACCTTCGAAGGCTCTGGAGTGTCGGTATATGTCGGTTACAGGTCTCCTGGTCCAGAACTCTCCAACTTATACTACTTTCATCAGGTTATCAATAAAATTTAATTAATGTAATTAGCAAGTAATTCATACAAAATGTTTTAGAATCTCAATAAGCCTTTCAAAGCTTATTGTTATCTAATGTCAATTTTCCGAGGGTAATTATTTCGTTTATTATAGACACGATGCAGTACTATTAGTACTCGTAGCCTTCAAGCTAATAGCAGGTACGACCTAAATCAATTGTATATTATCGAAGATACCTTATTACCCTCTCCGCGTGCTATCATTAAATTACCATTAGAAGTCTATGAATGAACTATTGCATACGGTAATTCTATAACCTTCTAAATTAGTTACATAATGACATTATGTAACTAATTAACATTGTATAAACTTTATAAACACTAAAAAGTAGTTTCTATTATATTTCGAAATATGTCAATGTGATTGCGTGTGTGTAGAGACTCAAGTTAGCACGTCAATTTGATTACAATGATAAAACCATCAGGCGTTGCACTAGTATGGAATAATTTAGTATAAAATAATAATCATTGTTTAAATTAAATACATGTTACTGATTCTTTTACATGTTATTACTATAATGAATGATATCTAACAATAATATATCACAATAATAATGATAAATATAGTTAGGTCACGGTATTCAATTGGAACTTCGATAAATAGAGTAAAACTTATTATTAAGATTCAACCTTACACAATGTACTAGTAAAAATAAATATTTTATTAGGCTAAGAAAACTATATTACTCCTGTTCATCTATTCAAAATTAGAGTCGATGTCGTCGTCTCGCTCCAATAAGAGCCATTTGGAGACGTACAATTTCCAATAATGGCACCTGTAAGGCATAATTCAAATTCCCGGAAAATTCTCTTAAGAGGATTCTTTAGAATTACTTTCTAGAAGAAGTTGAGAAAATACAATCAAGATACATATCTTCTTCTTGAAGGGAGCATATCAGTCTACTCGGCGAAAATAAGGGTCATTATTCAGAAATTCTTTTATTGAAATTATTAATATTTTTGAAATAGGGGTTTGCCTATATAATCTACATAACTCAAGGTATGTATTGCATTATTTGCAATTAAAAAATTTCGAAATCAAGCGAGTTGTTGACGTAGAACATGCCGCCAAAAAACACTCGGCAGTGAGCAACATAAGTTAAATATGAGTTCGCCTAAAACAAATGAACAAGACAGATTTTCAGAGACTAAAGCCCTTCACACGCAAAATAACGTAACGACGTAAGACGTAAGCGTAAGGAAACCAACCAATCAGAATCTAGTACTGTCCCCTCCACTCTTCATTGTAAGACGTAAGCCGTAGTGGCGAAAAATATCGTAAGGATGAAATCGTTACGGCTTACTTCTTACGGACAACCAATCACAAACCTTCTCGCGTTCTCGCTTAAAAGAACATTGTTTATACGTGAGACGAGTGGCTTTGATGTGCTTTGATATTGAATAAAACCAGCAATGAGTGATCATAAGCAATATTGTTCAACAATGTATTGTAATACGGATAACGAAAAACTGGATATCATGATAGAAAACGAAACCAGATTAGCGGACGAATTGCTCATCCATTATGTAAGAGGTTATCCACACCTTTACAATCATGAAAATAGGTACAAAAATAAACTTATAGGTATAACTTAAACACTTTGATAAAAATGCGCAATTCTTTCTTCAGTCTGATTAGCCGTAGCTTACTCCTTACGCGTGTGGTGTGCGATGGTGCTTACTGATTATGACTTACGGTTATGTCTTACGTCGTTACGTCGTTTTGTGTGTGAAGGCCTTAATAGTCCACATTCTTTTTGTCAATCCAAAATATTAAAATAATAATTATTCTATTGTTGTTGTTATTATTATTATTATTAGAGAAATAATAATAAAAAAAAAACAATGGGCGTTCGTCAGAAAGCGCTAGAAGTATTTAAAAATATAGTCTGTAAATTTGTTGTGAAATAATCGAAATATCATGCTCACTGACTTCGAAAGCCGTGTTTTAAAAAAATTGTGTTTAAAGTTTTAGCCTGCTCTGTCCGACCGCAACATCTTGCTTAAATTTTAATTCCGCACCTCTGACATTTTTCAAAATTTAACATATTTCAAGAATGTTCTCAAGATATCAAAGTTTCAGAAAATACAATTAAAAAAAATCGTTTTTTTGATCGATCTAGATTGACATGCTACACATATGCTACATATGCTACACAATCTTTTCCATTTCATCATATAAATACTTTTATTGATATGAAAATACATGCAAAATTGTCTAATAGATTTCATTATATTGCAAATAATTATTCATACAATCTTTCACTAAAGTTTATTTAAAATATTAAAAAGTGAATTTTATGAAAAACAGCAGATCCTTTTATAACAGATTGTTGCCACCTGACGATGGCAAATTTGTATAGCAATGCCAAGTTTACTTTACCGTTTCGATTGAAGCCGGCCAAAATCGAGTTAAGAAACCAAATAAGATAAAACTTTTCCAGGTGGTATCTTTATGCATGATATATGATTCGATAATTTTCTTATAACGAATACGATACTGCTATGTGGTGTTCAATCATTCAAACTTTTTTATAAATGCAGATTCGATTAAACATTGTGTATAGTGCGTACCATCGTGGTTACAAAATTTTAATTCTGAGATGTGGCATCTCACCAGTCGATTGAAAGGTTAAAGTCAACTCTTAATGTTTCAGTCTCAAATTTCCCATAAGATATAATGTACAAGACTGATAGTTCCAACACCCATATTTACTTCACTAAACGTCCAAATTACCGCACGTTTTGCTACATGACCTAGAAGATCTTGAATTTTAATATACTTTAGAGTTAACAAATAATATTTTATTTAAGATACTGTTCCAAACTCCCAAAAATCGAGTGTAAAAATAATAAAAGAATCGTAAAATGATGAGTGAGAAAGAATTGTTTTGCGCGTAGTTAATCCCCACTCCCATGTCAAGTTCCTGTATACAACCGGTACTAAAGGCTTTAGAGAGTCCACAAGTGAGAGTTTAGTCTGTCGCAACGTGTTGATCGCACGCTACCTTGAGATGAGCGAGTATTAAACATTCCGAAAATAGTGTGGTGATTACAAATAAATTTTATCTAAAATCCGCCATAAAACTATCGGATTAGGGGACAGTGCCTGTCATAAATATGGGATTTTTAATTTTAATTAATTAATCTATAATTTAAAAAATATAGTTATAGATCTATGCAACGTTAATGCCATTATATTGAATCAATTATTTTTGTCGAATTGAACATTTTTAACGTTCAGAAATATATCATAAATCACTGACTTAAACCAATTGATGTGATTGAAAACTTGTTCTCGCTCATAAATCATAAACCATCAGAGTTTGTGGAAGTGTCAGTGCCACGTGTTGTTGTTCCTGCGAAAATGTGGCTGATGGCGGCAGCACTGATCCATAATAATTTATCGAATTAATTATAACGCCGTGGATGAAAGTTAAGTCAACTTTAATAAGTGCATTTGATATAGTTGACGCTCGCGTGGCATAATTAAACATATGCTAAATGAAACTGATATTTGCACATTTAATGAGTCTCCTGAAGTAACTATTTTCATTTAAAACAGAAAGTTTTTATATGTCCAATTGTCGACCATGTCGGCTATTTTCGAATAAACTTCTTGTTCCTCTTGTGATGTGTTTGTGCATGAGGTATTAATCCTCATATAACATTTATGCTCACGGATTACGCTGCAATTATCTTTGTGTATCTTATTTAAGGAAACAAATGGCCCTTAATTCTAAAAAACAGTAAGTAGCAAATTATTGTTTTTTCAATTAGATAAACGTTTCGTAACAATTTGTACATTGCATATTAGTTATGTGAGTACTAATCCAGTTAAATGTTAGTGAGCATGTGTGGATATGTATATGTATATAAAACAAATGTATAATGAGAACTTATGGCGTGTAATGCAGATGGCGCATATAGTATGCGTGTACATTTCCCCATGTGTACGGTAACGTACAGCTGCATTTCGACGTACAAAGCAAATAAGAAACCGCAGAACATTGATTCTCGTCTTGTGCTGATAAAAAATTTCGTTATCTATTTTAAACAAAAAAGCCCGTATTCAGAATTCATTTTCAGTGCTAACAGCGTACTTTTAAATTATTTGTTAGTGACTTTTTACTAAAAGCGACTCTGCTAGAGACTTTAAGAGCGAGTTCTGAATACGGGTCAATCACTATATTAATGTTCTTACGTTGTTATGTTAAAATTTCGTAATTCATGTGTACAGTTGTGCTGCGAGATCAGTGTGTCTTCGAAAAGGCCACCTCTTTATAACTTACAAACGTACAAGACTTCTGAATATGATACTGATATCGAGACAGGACTGTAGTTGGATTACGTGACACGAAAGAATAATAGGTAATTATTACCAAGGACAAGTTTTGTTATTTCCTAAATGATGATCTAGGCGTTATAAAAACTATCAAATCTATTGTCGATCCGTGACAGTAAATTTCGAGGTTATCTATTGAAAAAAAAGCGAATATGCAGCATTTAATATATTGTTATGAGTAACTTAAATCGGTATGCAAATACACGTGGTTGGCATATCAAAGACTGGTTATGTTCCACCTGTCAAAATCAAGTACTCATATCGCGGCTCGACTTTGGTCGAAATATTTTTACTGTTTGCCTAAAGAATGTCAATGATCGAGCTGAATCAAGTTTCTTAGTTTAGAAATAACGTATCGGAGAAACGAACTGGTGTATGGTAGTCCTGTAGTGTCTGTGCGTATACCCGACAAATTACCTTGGAGAAAGTATTGCGGATGTGATACGATACGTCTCTCAATTCTCGTTAAAAGCAGTCACGTCGCATTTATAACGTATGACGTGTTACGTACGTTTGAGTCCATCGCTAATGCTTTTTTTTCTGGATGACTATTGGCAACTCTATTGAGCATATCTACCTTATCAACTTTTACACGACAATATTTATAAGTAAATAGAACAGCTTTAAGGTAAAAATCATTAGGTAATAAATACTGTACTGTTGATATTAAATATAAAAGTGATTTACGTTTGTAAAAAAATTGTCGTTATCGCGATTAAGTTTGGCAAAAAATTTATTTAGTTCCAAATTTTTATTTAATAATTATAAGCCAAGATTTTTAATTCTTTTAATTCTTTAGTAATACGTTTGTTCGATTTGCAAAAAAAAATTATACTAATCGTAATGGGTCGGTCCCCTGAAATGAAATTGAAGCTAGAATATAGAAAAATACATTTGTATTCGTCACACGTAGTAAACTTAAAGAACGGGGCACACGACTAATAGTGGAATCGTGTAGAACTTAAAGATAGCCGCGCTTGAGTGCGCTTTGCTCGGAACTCGTGGCGGCGGGTTTGCACACACACACGTTGATTCGTAAATTGCATTTTTCACATATATTTCAACATTGGACCGAATGTAGCTTGAATATAGAGTTTCAATTTCAGTATAAAATCGTACCTTACGTTTAGCAACTGACTGAGCTTTAAAAATATATGATTTAATTTTAATTTTTTTTTTCCAGAAAAAGAACGCGCAATAAACATTATTAAAAGCGTTGTAAATTTGACAGTTTAAACATCCTAACAGTTTAATAGCAATTGTTCCCACACTGTCAGATAATCCAGCCCCATATAATCTGTAACAATATAGTGCTTAAGTGTATATGGTCCGTAGCGTAGGTATTTCTTCGAGCAACTGACTGGATACTCACGCATACTGACTTATAAATATATACTAACACGCATTCAAAATTAGTGTAGGGTTTGGGAAGTATTTCACTGTATCGTTGATAATAATTCAACGGCGACGCTTATTATGTTTATTATCCTGTTAACCGCAGCTACCATCCACCTATTATAGTTCATTCACACCGATCAACATTCATCTTACCTTAAGCGTCCTTTAGGAATTTGCCTTGAGTCAATATACGTATCCGTGCTTATACACAGGATTAGTAAAATCAACGCACCACCCGAAAGGAGTTCTACCTTAAGAATCGAATGAACGAACTATCTTCTAACTTCAGTTTCTCTGAATTATGAATATTCTTGTTCTAAGCACGATACATATGAAAAAACACATATATAAAAAAGTGATTTATATTGATACTGAAGAAATGTCGCAAAAGTGAGTCAGCTCCTTATTACTCACACACGCAGGAATATAAATCTAAAGCAAAAGAGGTTGAGTGGCAGGTATCCTGAGGAATATCGAGACCGGGAAGGAGGCCCGCTAAGGAAGTACAAAGATTTGTTGGTAAGTTCCAGTATCTGAATCTATTCCTAGAACTAAATCTAAATCGATACTCTAAAAAGTGCGAAATTTACAACTAAGGGCTCTATAATAATTTCTAAAACTATAACCTCTGAGAAAGACGCCCCAGGCAAGAATCCTCGGGGTAGTGTACTCCATAATTTTGAAAATCTAGAAGATAATTATTCACTAATCTTATTCCTAATAGCTAATCGGTGATCCTGTGCAATTTAAAGCAAATGGGG